AGGTAGTTCCAACATACAGCCTGTCTTCAGAGTCCTACCAGCATTAACACTACCATGAAGTGTGTACCCAATTCATGTCTGCATTGATGTACCATGTATGCTCCCTCGAACATTAGCTTTCCAGAAGTGACTACGGTCAACTTTTTCTCTGTACTTTTACCTACATGGGGCAGAATTTCTGTAACAAATGATGAGTAAAGGGCATTTTGGAAACGACAACTCTGCAGCAAATCATGTTCCTGTTCAGTATTAAAATGTTAAAGCATACCCCTGAGAGCTGCTCTGGAAAGGAAAGCTTAAATATTGTCCTCCAGAAAGAGTATGCCGGAACAATAATGTTTCATAAAACATTAACATTAGCACTAAACTATTCAAAACATCCTTGGATTCGCTCCATCAAAATCATGCTTTTTTTTTTTTTTTTAATACTGGCACCAGTGGCAGTATCAATTTCTAACAATTCCCTTTCTTAAGCTCTGTTACTGCTGAACACTGAACTGTTACACAGTTGAAGACAAGCGGGCTTATTTTACTAAATAATGTAACTAGTTATTTTTGATGTATTAGTCTGATTTACTGTTTCCAAACAAATTTTTCATTTTAAGTGCAAAACGTTGATTTCTATGGTCTGGTTGATGTTTTTTCATGCATGCAAATTTTTTAGAGAACATTTTGTCTTTAGCTTCCTGTTATGCACATTTTTAAGAGCTTAATGTTTCCTGCCTCCACTTAATATGAAAAGAACATTGCACGTTTTTGCTGAATGTCAATGAGATAGTTACATTACAGAATTCGTGTCTAAACGACTCTGAAACTGTGACTAGGTATCAGCAGAATTCCACTCCATACTGGAAAAGAGTTTAATTAATACAATAGACCCAAAATAAAATGGATCCTCCCCAAAATACAAAGCAAACACTGGGAAACTCAAACAAAAGTAAATATTGAATTAAGCATGTCTCTCTTATTTAAGTGAGACAATAAAACAAAACAAAACAAAACAAAACAAAACAAAACAAAACAAAAGTCTTGCAGAGGCTTCAGAAATATAGTTATAATTTATTTAGGTCAGTTAATAGGGGTTTTGTCTCATCAGGCAGGAGATGAAGCAGCATCAGTCTCTCCCTAAGCACCTTCAGTATTTTACTAACGAAGTTACAGTACATCGGAATATTTTAATCTGACACAAAGAACAACAATAGATCTGACTGCTGGGCTGATAATCTTCTTATCACACCCTGTGAAACCTAGCTCTAATATTTGACTGAGCCTCCATTACTCGGCAACACATTCTAAAAAGGCCAACAATGAAGAGAGAATGAAGTGGAGTGTGGAAGTACCTCCATATCTACATAAAAGAGATTAGAGGCGACAGCGTTCCATTTTACAGCTCAATCATATTGTGTTAGCATGCGCTTATCCGAGCGCGGATGAAATTGAAAGAGAAATAAAAAAGAGTCAGGCAGATAGGAACCAGAAAAGCGAGGCATGAGCAATTTCCAAGGATATAAAAGGATGCTAATGGCGGGGCCCTGTCATTCTTAAAAAGGGCTATTAGGGCACCATCATCTGTTCTTGTGCCCTTACACTCCTCTAACTAAAGTCAAGCATTTCCTAATGCCATTGTGATCTTTTTCTTCTTCAGATAAGACATGGTCATGTTTCATAACAACACACTTTCCATTTATTTGATTTATAAATGCAAGGAGACTAATTCTATTTACTGATAAAGGCTTTCCATATATATTTTTCTTTCAATATTTCCTTTTGTGGATGGCATAGACTTTTTGTTCAATAAAAGCAACTATTGCAAATGTTTCCAATAGCACAAAAGTACTAATGATTTTATGAAAGCATTTAAAGTTTGTATAATTTTAAAACAATTTTTAGTCTTGTGACTGCAATGGGAAATCGTTGACTATAGGAGAATGCATGCTGCATTATTACTGTTTTATAGATAAGCTCACTAAAAAGACTTTTTGTTAGAACAACAGAAACATTGCTTGTTTCTCTTCCACAAACACAAATTTTATTTGTAATTGCAATGCCTTACAACCAAGATCTTTTATTAGTTATTATAATATATAAGGGCCTGTAATTACACTGAACCTTAAGAAATCGCTATAGTAAAGAAAGATTTGCTGACTGCTGATTTGCTGTGTTAGGCACAAATTCACTACAGGTGTAATTAATCTGTTCCAAAAGATGTATACCAAGGTCTGCTTTACTAGGTCCACTAAACTGCAGAGAACTTGCATACAATTTGCACCTTTTTCTAACTCATCCTCTTCCCAGTTCAGTTCTGTTAATGCCTAGGGTAACATTTGTTAGCTTAGACAACAGGCAGCTAACACCAGGCTGGGCTTTTCTACAAGTTGTTTTGTGCCAGACATCAGCTGAGCTTAGGCAGTCCAAGTTCAACAGCACTCCATCATTCAAAACCAAGCTGCAACAGCTCATCACATTTGCCCTTTACCATGTCAAGCCCTTTCAAATTTTGATTTTTGTGATCAAGCGCCAGAAAACAAGCACAGGTTTTATCACTGCCCTGTTACCAGAAGCCTTATAGGACCTTTTTTTCCCTGTTTAGTACTTTATTTTTTCCCCATACCTAAGTGGGGTCAAATGAGTAAACTTACACATGCGGTTTTGCCATGGCAGGTGTGCTTTTGAGTTTACCTTGTAATAAAGGGCTGCCTCATGTCAGAAATATTCCTCAACCAGTTCAGACTGCAGACTTTAAATTTTCAATGCCACTTTACAGCATCCAATAGATTTTTCATGCTAGCCAAGCCATCATTTTAAAGGCCGTTCAGTCTCATCCCTCTGCTCTTTCTACCCCTCCAGCCAAATCAAAGATATGTAACACATTCACAAATCAAGCTGACAAAAGTTTCCTTGCAACTACTCTGGAGTGTGACTGACTTCTTTGAGAACTATTCTATTTTGGTTAAGGTGATCTAGGTATCTTCCAAAGATGAAACTCAAACTCACCTGTTTAACTTATTTTGACTTAATTTGGGGTGCTTTATTAGCAACCAGTGTAAGACAAAGTAGCTAGTATAATATAGAGTGATGTTTAAATTAGTTTACAATTTGCCTGGGCTCATCTAGAACTGCTCTGAACAAAGCCATTCAGAAATGTCAGCTGTGTTCCTAACCACTGTAACAAATTGTTGCCTGAACGCTGCACACCTAATGACTTCAAATTAGCTTCACTGCGATATTGCCTGACAGTTCGTTACGACTGTTAGCAACATAGCTGGCGTATCATGACCAATAAATTGGTTTCAGTGTGGGCTGGGAAAGGGACTTCCATCAATTTGATTAAAGAAATTACTGTAGCATTCAAAGCATAAAGACAAACTAGTTTAAGGAGACAGAAATAAGTTAACTGTACCAGAAAAACATTGCTTGTGATACAAAAGCTTGTTTATTCACCATTTGCAGCACAGAGAATGACTACATTTCAACTGTGTGGCATACTGACTATTTGAGAATCTGTAGGCTGTTTTCTTTCATCTGAATCAAAATAAATTTCCATAAACATAAAAGTTATGTTATTATTACACTGTGTTAGTATTTATATTTATCTAATATGACCCAAAACCACCTATTAAAAGAACTGAGGCCTTGAGCTGGTTAGCATGAATTATAAAAAAATAAAAAAAATAAAAAAAATAAAGGAAGAGCCAGTCCTTACCTAAAGTTTATGTTTGTACAATCATCAATCAATCATAAATGTCAAAGAATCGTAGGAAAAAAGTAAAACATTGGAGTATAGACAGTATGCTCCCTGTTTGAATGAATGAAGAAGATTCAAGGCTCTCACCGTTCTGCTTTATGTCTACTAGTAGTAGAAGACTATTTTTGTGATTTCTTTGGATACTGGAAATAAAATATATTTAGCTTTGATAAGCAGACAACAGACTGCAATATTTATTCTATCATTAATATTGCAGTATCCCAAAATCATGTATAAAATGAGGATGTTGTATTACTCAGAGGAACTAAAGGATATCAGTTCTTATGTTCAATAAGGCTTCACTGTCGAAATTAGAAAGCTAATGAGCTGATGAAAACACATAAACATGCCCACTCATCTGCTGGACTGAGAAAATACCCCAAGAAACAAGAAAAAAAAGCCACTATTTTCTGTGTAACTTTACCATTTGTGAAAGGTGACAGACTGACAACCCTGGAGACTCCCTACGAGCTTATTTATTTGCCCTCAGAAGAAGCAGAAATACCACAGCACTGAGTAAAAAGAAAATATACTTCAAATGTTATCTGAAGAAATCACTAATCTTGTGAGAGAATACTTCTGATGACTGCTTTTCTGGCTGAGACAGGTGACAGTTAGCTTTAAAAACATCCAAACATTTAAGAGTTGTCGAGTCCAACCCATTTCATACAGACCGAGGAATTACCAAGATACTGGAAGAGACCTTTTGGTACAATTCAGTTCTTTCTACGGAACTGCTGGAACAACCCAGTTCTCACGCTAGTCTGTTCAAGGAAGAGAATAACTCCTCCGTGTCATGCCAAAATACATCTGAATTTTTGCACCTCCTCCAGTCAGTATAAGATAGTGCAGCCTTTATGGAATAGAGGAGCTAGACTACATTTGACTCTTGCTGAATAATATGAGTGCAGAGTGCTTATACTACCTTTCCCACCAGGATAACGCTCTGGATAGCAAGTTTATCTTAATATAAGTAATAAATGAAAATATAAGTAAAGAATGAAATATAAGTTTCACATGAACAGAATGTGAAACTTACAATCGTGCTTATACTCATAGCAAGAATAATACCATTTCCAAAATAAGATATAGTATCATCTAACCTATGTCCAATGTGAATAATCTGGAGCCTTAAGAAAATTTTATGCATTGTAGTGAGGGAACAAATCTTTTTTTATTTTTTTTTAAACCAGAGCATAACAACAGATGTGATGATTTACGTATGTCATTTATTTGCAATAAATACTATATGTACCTGGAATATGCTTAGCCCATCCGATGATCACCACCAGTTCTCTGTCTGCCAGGTCACAAAGAGTGGTAAGTGCTTTGATGTCACTGTCTGGAACAGTGGGGTCAGGCATAGCATAGATCTTCTCTGGTTCAGCCACCAGCAAATGGGAGACAATCTTGTTATCTGTAAAAATGGCCCAGAACAGTAGAAGATCACCAGTAGCATCATTCTGCTTTTTAAACAGATGGCTCACATTTCAAAGTGCACAAGAATTTGTCTTAAGATACCGGACCTAATTAAACCTTATTGTAATTTCACTGGCTTCTACAAGCAGTTACAGCACAGCCAAATCCGATCCATTAACAATGTTCATCGAGCTAGACGTGTATGTTCTTAAGAATGTAAATTTAATGGAATGTAGAAATACGTGATCACCTCCTAATATCAGAGTACAAACTGTAGAAAAATCTTCATGCATTAGAATGCATTTTGGACAGTGCAATCTTGAAAAGTTCTGCCTTCCCCTAACTACCTGAAAAAAAACCCAAAGGCGTTGGTATTTTTTGAGCAAGGAAATACCACAAGCAATTAGTCAATCACTGAAATTTGCAGTGTCTGTCAGCAATTTCAACGACCATTTTCCATTTCAGATGTCCCTGTTGAACAGTTGTAACAGAAACAACATCAGGACTTTCTCAGTGCTTATTATTCTATATATCTTATATCATGGGTATCGAGCCTGTTAAAAAACTAGTAATGAATCCGTACACTTTGGGGCCTATCTTGTGAGAAAAGTGGGGGTGTTGTCATATATTTGCTTTTCAGTGAAACATGCAAATTAAGATTCAGGTATAAAATCAGCTTATTTAAGTAAAAATGTATAAAAATAATATAAAAATAGAGTAACAATCTCTCATTTCTAGCAAGGAAGAGCTATTAAAGCCAATTAAACTAAAGAGTGCAAAACTAAGGAAAGAAACAAGGATGCAAATACTACCTTTAAAAACTGGTTTTATGCAAAGAATGATGCTTTATCATATGCACACACTTACTATTTTTACCTAAATATCATTTTCATTTGTATGTTTAAAATTTACTTTTCCATCCATATAAATTGTGAAATTTATTTGGAATAATCAATTAAATTATATGGAAAACCAAAAACAAAGAACAGAAGAGCCTGGAGGATTTACAACACAGAGTTGTTATCCTATACAAGCAGAATAAACAAAAAATGAGCACTATAGTTACATGGAGAAACAATGGAAGTATCTTATCTCCATATAGGAGCCGGATTTGTTACTCTCAGAACACAGAACTGAAAAATGGGAAACGAACTAATTCATTAAACCTCCTAATACAGCATAGATTATAATTCCAAATGTATTTACATTTGTACCTTTTTATGGTAGGTACATCTTCTGACCTCAATTGCACCACCAAAATGTCAAGCCCAAAGAACACTCTTCAATGAATTTACAGTAAGCTGTTTCCCTTCTTAGGATAAAGAGTCACGGGGCTTGATATAAATGGGATTCCATGGGGAGAAGGTGCAAAGTATTTTCTGACTGCAGAGCAAGCAGTTAGAATTAGTATTATTTTCCTTCTGCATATAAATCACAGGCTGGACCATGCTGTTCTCCTGTGGGGGAACTGCAATGGAAGCTTGCCCAGGAGTGTCAGAGGGGCTCCCTACCAACCCATGACAGATTTCCATAAAATACTCACTTGATTCTGATTTCTGATACTTTACAGCTCGTTTGTGGCATAGGCTTCTTGATTCTGATCTACTGTCTCTCCAGTTTTTTGCCTTATTCCAGATTTGTGTGTCAGAAATTGTGATATATGTTAGGCTTTCATAAAATAAGTGCAAGAGCCAACTGGAAACCATCACATCAAGCGTGTTTTATTACAAGGGGATATATTCATGTTTTATAGGAACTATGCCAACTGAGTAATTCTTGATCTCAATATTCTACTTATTATCAAACTGATTAATGAGAAATTCTATTCTTATTTAAAGATGACAGATGGTAGTTTTAACTTATATTGCAAACAGCCTTTGCACATTATTTTTTTTAAATTTTAAAGTCTTTCCTTATGATTTTGAATTTCATACAGAAAACATCAAGTTATAAGAGAGAACAGATAATGTTGCTTCTTCCCAAATTCCCGTTATCTCTATATCTTCTGAAAAGTAGGATAAATGTACTTTAATATCAAAACATATCTATGAGGACTTCAACTTTGTGTTTTTTAACTAATGATAAATAAATGAAGAAGAAGCACTCAGGGCCCTAAGTTCTGTGTTTTTTTTTTTTGTTTGTTTGTTTGATTTTTCCATGTAAACAAAAGAAATGGCTAAAGAACCTCTTATATTTTTTAGTGAGGTTCCTCATCAATGATTTTTTTGCATACAATTCGGGAATATTGTATATTTTGGTTTATGACTCACAAAATCTCAAATTCTTTTATTTTCCCAATCAGCAAGATCTACGGGCAGGCCACGAGATTTCATGGTGAAGCTGAAAAATGCAATATAGGCCAGAAGTAGGTCTAGGAAAGATCCTCCAAACACCCATTCTTTCACTAGAGGGAGAAGAGCTACATATACATGTATGTAGCTTAGCATGCCTGCATGTATTCTATATGTATGCACGTATGAAGCATGTGCTAGAATATGGCATAGAAAAATTCTGAATGTACTCAGAAAGCCCCATCACTCAGGAAATTGAATAGCCATGAGCACTGTTTCTAGGTAAATCTTATTTAATGTTTCCCTAATTAGAATCAATAGAACCCAATTTTCATTCCTGTGCCTTTGTTATGCACAAACTATCAGTCAGGGTCCAGAAAACCTCCCAGGCTAGTTCCACACAAAACCGATTCAACTGTTTCAAGTCCTGACACTTATCTGACAGGATCTGAAAATTAAGTTTTATAAATGTTTGTTACAAAAATGTTTGTAATTAGACAAGCTGAGGAAAATGAAAGGAGGCATTTAGATAATGAGTAATGATTTATAAGGAGGTTGGTTTATCTCTGACAAACGGAGCTTACAGAAATTGGTATAGTTATCATCTTAAAGGTACCATAATGTATTACTTTGCTACTTTGCAGTAATCTTGGGTTTACACGGAGATTCTTGTATTTGAGTACAACAGTGTTAACCTCATTCATATCAAAGGGCTTGGTTTGTTGTTTTTTTGTTGTTGTTGTTGTTTTTTTCCCCTTTTTGGTCTTGGCTTTTTCGTATGCTAGGCTATCATCATTTCTACTCAATGACAATATCAAGTAAATGAAAAACTGACAATCTGTGCACCCAGGAAAACTAAACCTCTAATGAAATTAAGCATTAGAGTTTATTAAATTTTATTGTATTATCAGAAAGTTTTTATTATAATGTGCAAAATCTGCTTAGTGCAGCCCTAGATTGTATTTACAGAACGGTGGGACAGCTTATGTAGGCTGAGTAGAAGATGCCAGATTGGACAATTGAAGGAATATAATCAGCATAATGTTTTTTGGAAAGGCAAAAGGAAACTATGCCATATGTTCACTTAAGCCTTAATTTTATGTAAAACTGGCTGTTTTTTCTTTGACACAGCTAAAATGCCCTTTCACTTACAGTTCAAAGACTGTTTATTTGCTCTCCAGATCCCCATATGCTCAAACGTATTGTACACAGCACTGTCCCCTACTGGGGAACACAAACTGAAACAATTTCACTTTCCATACAGCCAGGTATTTTCAAGAACCTACAAATATGTGTTGTCTTTTTCTGTCAGAGGCACGGTTACAGAAGAAAATGCAAGAGAAGGAATTTCCTCTCCTTATTTCTCTGTTTTATTTCTCTGTTTTAAGAGCAAATTAACCTTCATGACAGAAGCAACTGAATGTGCGAATTCTGATTTGAATTTGAAAAGGTTTACAGCATTTGATAAAGAGTGTATGCCTTTGCAGGGCAATACACTAGTCTCTTGCACTACAGCTATAATGCTATTAAATTTACTTCATGGAATTAGTACAGTCACTGCTTGAGTTTATATAAGCTGCAAAGCAAAACCCCTAACTATTTTTAGCTAATCGCAAAGAGGATGGAACTTGTATTTTGGCAATGAGATGATCAGATCTCTCTCTCTTTTAATTTCAGCCTGGCAAGATACAATCAAGGACATCATTAAAACAAAACAAAACAAAAAACCCATCATGCTTATAAGGGTACCAGTGTCCTAACTACCAATCTATGCTTGTTATTAGTGTGGCATATTGCTGTTTTAATCTAACGCTAGGTAGTGTATTAATCTATAGGTATAAATTAATGAGGCCCTTAATGTATTTTCATTGGGAGGTTGAGCAGTCAAACTCATTTAGTTAGTGAAAACCACAAAAATCACTTTCTTGTGAAATCTGAAACTAGAAGCTTCAATGAACTAATGATCACAGTATGAACCGTTTTATGTACCACTGAAAATAAAGATAACCCGTAAATGTAAAATTTGCACTGCATAAACCATGCTTTTATACACTTCCACCTGTAAAAGTATTCTTTGTTCAACTCCAGTTGAGAAAGGATGAGCATATTTAAATCAAAATATGTTAACAGCTAAATGGGTATAGGGTTATGGCAATATATTCTGCCCAAAATCTTGTACCAGTCAGAAGGAGCTTAGCAAACAGGACTAGGAGTCAATACCTAGTATTGAAAGAGAAACTTCAAATATCTGGTGTACTCACATGGCTTTTTTGCTGGCTGAACTAGCTGAGGGTTCAGGTATGGGCTATTCTCTGCATCTATTCTGCGCTTGTACTTCTGGCGACCTCCACGTACTCTGTCTAGGCGGACACCTGCATTGGGAAAAATAAGCAAACATGCCATTAAATATATTATGAGGATGCCCTTAATCTTCCATCTCCTGCCTTCCAAGATTTATTTAAAATATGTATTTATTTCAAAAGAGTAATTTTAGAAGCAAGGCAAAACAACACTACACGTATTTGCAAGCTGTTTAGATTTTCACACATGCAAGACCAAGTATACAACATAATTTCCTATCCGTTTCAAACCATTTGTTAATTTTTACATATTATTAAACACAGCTAATGAGTTTAGTTTCCATTTGAAAGAGTTTGATCTTAAGTCTTCTTTAGCAGAAGCAGAAGTTCAAAGCTGTAATAAACACCATGGATATACAAGCAAACATTTTAAGTACAGAAACAGAGAATTAGAACTTTAGAAACAACTGGTGTTGTAGACAGTCTAGGTAGTCAAAAGCAATACTTTTAATTACCATGTCTAGAGAACACGAAGTAAATACCTTAGTAATATAAGAAAGTATATGCGGATTAAAGACCCAAAGTGGTTCATGAGAGTTTGAAAGAAATTGTGTAGGTGTTCATTTAGATGTCAGCAATGATGAATTAACATGTGTGTTCATCTTCCAAATTGTTCATTGCTTCAATGAAAGCATTCTGATACCCGTTTTGATCGGATATAAGGGAGTTTACTTTCCTGAAACAAACTGTAGCTTCTCTCATAGACAAAATGAAAAAAAGGAAGGAAAATAAGGATGGTACGTCCTTCAAAACAACAAAGTATTTGTATTTCCTTCTGAGTCACCCAGATGGATTTCCCAACTACCACGAAAAATGTCAGTATAACCAAGTAGTAACACAATGCTGAAGTTGAAAAACTCAGCATATATGCAGGGCAATAGGTCAAGTAACACCAAGCACAACATTTGTCCCTGATGACATGGATTTAACTACACAAGAATGCAAGGACACGTTACGTATCAGTGATCCCTGCAAGTGATGGAATAAAGTGCAGCTCACTTTCTCACTTTGCTTTTCCTCTTCCATTTTAGCTCTCTTCCCTCGATCTTTTCTATTGCCATTATTATGCCCTACAATACTACTCTGATCTCTTTGTTCTCTTCCTCGCAGGAAATACCTCCAGAACTGGCTTCTGGACTGCAGAGAAGCTACCACCAAAAATTTTGCAGTTTATGTGCACAACAAAAAGAAGACATCACAGAATCTACATGCTGCACTGGCAGTATACAGTCTAGTTACCAGGAAACATCTGCCACTCCTCTTTCATCCTAAAAAAAAAAAAAAAACAAACAAAGAGGATTTGGTAGATATATGAAGAGTTTGGTAGAAAAAAGCCATTTTACCAAACAGCCAGGAATTCAAGGCCAACTGTTTGTTTTGTTTTTCATTCTTCTTGTTTTCTCTCTCTTGCTTTTTTCCTTTTCCTGATCTCTCTCTCACTCTGAGCTGGCATGACACTAACCTACCAGAGTACCCCATAACTGAACTGAGGATGATGGACTTTAAAGATCTAAATTTATGCTCCTCTGCTTGGAGTGAAGGTTTTGTACATGGTATTCTCATTTGCCTAGAGAGGTTGTTAATATGTGGAAAAGTTAGAAACACAGAAGATACTTGGCGTAAGGTCCCAACCAATGACTGTAAGCATAAAGCAGTGCACTGGATGCAGTAACAGTGCTCAACACTTTTTGCTCACCAGGTCATTGGATATTGATCACCTGTGAAATTTCACAGCGAAATTTCATTCAGTTTACTGTAGAAGTGTATACATTTCAATCCCCAAACTCAAGAAGTGTATTTCTTGAGCTATATGCAAAGAAAATGACACCTGGGACAACACACTGCTGTAAAAACAAATAGCAGAAGACCAAAGTTTGACAATTAAATATTCAGAAATAGGCAAAGGATTAGAACGAGCCACATGATATTGGTGGGATTATAAAGAAGACTGCCCAGCATTTGAAGAAAAGCAGACAGAAAATGATTTCTGCATAATTCAGATGCCATCCTTCTTTCTGTTTGGGAGCAGATTTCATAGTGATAAAAGATGGATAGCATCAGACAGAAGCATGTTTAATAAAAAAGTAATGGAACTGTAGCCTTAAATTAAAATAATATAAATCTACCAACATGAACTTTTTTTTTTTAATCTCCTTTGCATTTTCCAAGATTCAAGCCATTTGCATACTCAATGGAAGGAAACACAGACAAATGTTGCGATAGCAAAATTATTTGTAGATACATGCACTCGCCTATATACATATACATACCAGTATTTACAGCTTTTATTTTTTTTTTTTTAAGAGAAATATTACAATTCTAAATAATTCAGGAATAACAGTATTAAACATTTTTAAATTACATGATTCTATAACATAACTAATTCCTATTCTAATGTGAAAAGATTTCTGATAACACAATACAAACAGAAAATAAATTACAGGCTTATAACCCTTTCATTAAAACTGATAAGGAGGTTACCATCATTTTAGCTTCTAAGATTGCCTCTCTCCTAATGCCATTACAAAATAACTATTTTAGCATCAATTTCTGATAATCTAACAAACCCTAACTGGTGTTTTACTTCCCAAGTGTTGTTATAGGAGTAAACACAATACAAGACACTCCTTAATAAAGGATACCAACCTCATATTTGGTAAAAACTTATCAGAGAGTGGAAGATAGCAAACTGAAACCCAGAGGTTCCTGGGTAGGTATACATTTCTACACATTTTCCCCTGTAATTCCTATAGCCTGCATAATATAATTCATTACAAAAATATGCATTTGTCTGCTCTCAAGATGGTAACAGATGATGCCTTCTTTGTTAGAAAAATAAAGGAAAGAAAGAAAGGCAATTTTGTCCACATAGATCTTCATTTGGGAGGAGGGTTTTAACATCTTGATCACCGAGGTAACTGCTATAATTTAACACACATTCTTTACTCAGATTACTAAAGAGGGTATTGTACCACCTAGCTATAGTACAGGGTGAAAGAAGTTAAGTAGACTTCTGATTTTGCTCTATCAGTATCCCCAGCTGCAAAGTGAAAAGAAAGATACTCATCCCACCCATATAAACTAATGTCAGATCCTGGAATGGCTTGCACTGCAGGTATTATCATTACAGTTGTTAAGGGTCAAAATATCCATTAGCATCACTGAACAAAGCTCCGCTGAAGAGAAGAAAGTTGACTCTTCACATTCCTCAACGCTGAGCTTAATTTTTAAATTCCTCAGTAGAAAAACAAAAACAAAAGCCCAAATGAGAAAAACATGGGTGACCACAGGGAGTCTTATTTTGGTATCAAGAGAAATAACAGGCCTGCTACCAGTTATAATGTGATTTCAACAGGCAAGTTCAACACATTCACTTTACATCTTAGGACAAGCACAACTCATGAACTCTTCTGCTCAAGAATGATGCGTAATAATGCATTCTGGCATGATTAACAAAGCTCAGAGGATAAGGATTAAACTTGAACTGTAATATAGAGAGAGATGGAAACTATGTACATCAGAGCAATTGCTACATCTTTTTTTAAGGAAGGTAATTACAGTTACTAATACAAAATAAGAATTTCTTCATCTGACCATAAGGAAAGAAATGGTCTCATAGTTATTATACTAGCTTCTACAAAGAAGGTTCACATCCTGGTTCCTCAAACAATCTTTCCAGGACTTTCTCTCAAATGCTCACCAATGTAAAACAAAGTGATATTGGCCAGTCACTCTGAAGTGAAAGCATCCTCAAAGTTATCCACACAAATAACTGAATACTAGAGCTGATGTACAAAATGAGCTACACACCAGGTTTTTCAATCCAAACAAACATAGGCAAACCTGAACTCTCTATTTTCTCCTTTTTTTTTCATCTCTTCCTCCTTCACAAACACTGTTGCAAATTATTATTCCTTTTCTGTAGTCCTTGTCTCACATGGCCCTGAAGCAGTCGTGTGTGACAGGTACCCCACTGTGACCAGTGCTATATAATCAAAAAGATTGCCCTTGTCCCAGTATATCATTCGTTTTGTGATTCAGGTCCTCCGTATGATAATCATATTTAACCGTCTGCTATTTTTCCACATAGATCCAAGTCACATCCAAAGTATACCATTTATTCCTTCATAACTTGCCTTTCTTCCTCTTTTCTGTCCCCTCCTTACCATGGATGCGAGCCTCCAGCACTCATTCGACCACTCGTCCCACAAATGTTCTTCTCCTTTGCATTGAACACTTACACCCACAGGAAATCCTCAGGCTGACGTGCAAAGCATTTGCCCACATGTTCAGATCAAGACCTATCAATACCAGGACTGCCAATAAGAAACTGCTTACTGTCTGTAATCTGAAATTGCTTTTCATTTGGAAAAAAGTAAACCTAATTCACTTAAACATGAACTAGCATCTGAGTAAGTCAAATCTATCTCACTTTTTCCACTACACCAGTGGAAAGTAGTGGAAAGTACCAAGCCTCTTTTGACCTAAGGAAGTTTCAAATTCTGCTTCCTTTCCATACCCTTACCTCATAAGTGAGTTAGAGTAAGCAGATGTGTTCTACGCCAATGCTTTTCTGGCAAGGTCCACCTCTAACACAGCACTCTATATGTACTGAATATATTCTCATCATGTTTTCTATGATACGTAACTGGGTAAAGACCCATTTTATACAGATGCTTTAAGATTCCCAGCATTGCCTTAAATTTGTAAATTTTGTAGTGCAATTAGTAAGAATGGATTCCAGGAAAACTGCAACTTGACAAGCTTTAGAGGAACATCAATAGGAGAGGCCAATAAATAAATAAATAAATAAAAATATTAACAGCAAAACTAGAAACAGCAAAAGGAATTTTAATGGCAGGTTCTGATGTGGTTCTCCTTTGGGCAACATCTTGATAGGGTGTTCCAGTTCAACTTGAACACACTGTGCCTGTTTATAAGTTTGCTACGTAAACTTGGGTGAATATTATAAACTCTGGGTTTTGCATATTCACAGAGACAGGGAAAAACTT